ATCTCCCGAGGGGTCCCAGATTGCGAGAGGGCACAGGCCAGGCGGAGGGACCCCTCCTTCCCCCCCGAGTGCACAAATTTTTGTGCACCGGGCCTCTAGTATACTAATGATACACTAAGGCCCCTCAACTGCTTGCTATTATGTGCACTGACCACCAGGGGGCAGATGCTCAGTCTGGTAGGTTAGCTTGCTGCTGGGGTCCAGCCAATTGGGACTGAGCGAGATGTGCCTGATGTGCTCTGGAGCCCTCCTGGAGTCCCTCCCTGGCTGGCCAACCTCTTGCCTCCGTCCCCACCATGAATGTGCACAAGTGGGATCCCTCGGCCTGGCCTGTGCACTCTTGCAATCCAGGACCCCTCAGGGGATGTTGGAGAGCTGGTTTCAGCCTGATTCTGCAGGCAAAGCTGATGGACCCCATTGGTGCACGAATTTGTGCACTGGGCCTCTAGTCTTAAAATAAAGAGAACCAAATGGATAATATTGAAGGTTCTTTCTGGGCACATTGCTTTTTCAGATTTTATGGAATTTTAGGTGTTTTTGTCAAGGTCTATTGACTTTAAGGAATAAAAACCATAACAAATAATTCAAAAAAGTATTTGAGTTTTTAAACAGAGCTGAGAGCAAAGAAAGGCAATACAAACTAAAGTTTAATTTAGCAACTACAGCTGACCCTTGAATAACACTGGTTTGAATTTTTCAAGCCCACTTATATGTGCTTTTTTTTTCTTCAATAAATATGCAGTCAGCCCTCTGTACCTCCAGGTTTCACATCCGCAGATTAAATCAGCCACAGATCTAAAGCAGTATGTATGTTCACAGCTTGTAGCATGACTATCTGAAATGACATGGCTAATCCCACCAGCTCTGCTAACAAGGATTTCCAGAGTTGAAATTCACCCGGCTTCCACAGGCCCTGGAGTTTGCACAAGCCTTGTCTAGGAGCCTAAGAGGCAGCCCAGTAACGAGGGAAAATGTCAGCCTTCTACTCCTCAGGGAATGAAAGATAGCAGCTACTAAAATCTACAGGCCAGATGAGGCCGGGGGCAGAAAGGATGAACAGAATTCGGCAGTTAAAAGCCACAGCTTCAATCTCAGCTTTTGTTCTCTATAATCCCTCACACACATTAGTTTAATGTTTGGAGAGGCTGGGGTCCACCTTGGACCCCTCACCTGCCAGCTCTTCACCATTAATGGCTCTCTTTCTTCTTAAGGTTATTTTTCCTGCCACTAGAGCATTCCATCGCAGAGGCAAGAGGACTGAGAGCATGATGGGTGGTGATGGGTTGTGATGGGGGGTACCTGACTGGTGACATGGAAAACCTAGATGAAGTCTGCAGGGTGGATGGAGGACACACCCAGAAAAGGCCCTTCTTGCCAAATGGTCCCCACCCATAAGGTCTTTCTGGGGCCTGGACTCTGCATGGGGCCCCTGCACTGTGCATGTAAGTTATGCTCATAATACGCTAATGTTTCTGACTTGGTTGATGGGAAGGAGATTTTTTCTGAAAGGGAAGCAAGAAGCGGGGTATGACTTAGGATGGTCTTTTTTTTTATGTGTAACACGATTCAAGGGAAGTTCTAAAAAAACCCTCTCAATTTGAAGGCTTTGAGAAGTTTTCACAGAAACTTCTAACTGGGAACATGGGAAGAATAGGAAGAAGTTAAATAGAACACATCAATTTCGGGTACTAAGTTACTGGATAACTTAATAACACTTTGAAAAATAAATGTAGGGCCCCTCATATCTCAATTGTTTTTATTTGGAGAGGCTTCAACTCCTATGATACCTTACATCTCCCCCTGAGAGTTTCTATGATGCTCTTTTCCACCCACCATCCGAATGTCTCCAGCTTATTTATATGTGTGGGTGCTGTAAAGGAAGTGATAATACAGTTAACTCTGCATTGTATCTGAGTTACACATGTAACCCACTGCCCCTAGAGCTCATCAGGTTTGGGGTATAAGTGATTCACATTGCACTTTTCCCTATATTTGGGGTGCTCATGTCCCCAACTTGCTGATGCAGTATTCAGCTTCCTGCTGCATCCCCCTCTCCTTACTCCCAATGTTACCTGGGAGGCATCTCACAAGATGGCAAACACAAGCTCCACTGTGGGGATCAGGTGCTCCCTGGGCTCTGTCGCTGTGTCCTGGGCTCAGCGGCTCCCCCTGGTGGCCCCACAATTCCACCTGGCTGAGCTTCTCATACTGATGGCTGGTTTTCTGGGGGCTCAGAATTTCTTAACCTTGGCCTTAGGATGTCAAAGCTAAAAGACAGTTCATGGCTCTTCCTAAGCAGCCTGTGAGCATCTACTGTGCTGTAGACATGAATGCTTCAGATTTTTGTTCTCCCAAAGTACTCAAAGTACTCTGCTTTGATGTGTTTTGTTGTTTACAAATTTGTTCTTATGAGCCCCCACGTAATGATAGAAAAAGGAACACTGGGTTCAGTAAAAATCACTTAATATGTCTCAAGATCAGTTTCCTCCCATGAAAATAGCCCTCATGATCATTCACAGAATCAAAGCAAAGAGCATATATGAAAAGTAGAGGCCCAGTGCACGAATTTGTGCACAGATGGGGTTCGAGCAGCCTTCCCCAATCAGGGCCTATCAGGCTGGGCCAGCCTGGGGCAGGGGACGTGGCAGGTTGACTGGCCAGCCCTGCCCCGATCAAAGTGGGGGAACCGATTGGGGGTGGGGCCAGATGGGCTGAGGAGGTGGTGGAGAGGGGATCCTGGGTGGATACAGAGTAAGGTTGCTGCTTGAGGGGAGGGGCTCTGGGTGGTTGGGGGTTGCGGGGGCTGATCAGGGGCAGGTCAGTCCGCCACTGGTGAAACTCAATTTGAATTCCTGGTTGAGAGGGCAATTTGCATATTAACCTTTTATTATACAGGACTAGTGGCCAGGTGTGTGAAATTCATGCATGGAGGGGGGTTCTCTCAGCCCAGCCTGCACCCTTTCCAATCGGGAACCCCTTGAGGCATGTCCGACTGCCAGTTTAGACCTGATCCCTGTGGGATCGGGCCTAAATTGGCAGTTGGACATCCCCCTTCACAATCTGGAACTGCTGGCTCTTAACTGCTCACCTGTCTGCCTGCCTGATCACCCCTAACTGCCTCTGCCTGCCTGCTTGATAGATCCTAATTTCCTCCCCTGCTGGCCTGATCACCCACAACTGCTTCTGCCTGCCTGATCACCCCTAACTGCCCTTCCCTGCTGGCTTGATCTCACCTCCAACTACCCTCCCCTGCTGGCTTGGTTGCCCCTACTGCCCTCCCCTGCTGGCCTGATCTCACAGCCAAAGCTACTCAGCCCAGCCTGCACCCTCTCCAATCGGGGACCCCTTGGGGGATGTCTGACTGCCGTTTTAGGTCTGATCCCTATGTACTGCTGGCTCCTATCCACTCATCTGCCTGCTTGCCTGATCACCCCTAACTGCCTCTGCCTGCCTGCTTGATAGCTCCTAATTTCCTCCCCTGCTGGCCTGATCACCCACAACTGCTTCTGCCTGCCTGATCACCCCTAACTGCCCTTCCCTGCTGGCTTGATCTCACCTCCAACTACCCTCCCCTGCTGGCTTGGTTGCCCCTACTGCCCTCCCCTGCTGGCCTGATCTCACAGCCAAAGCCTCCTCTGCCAGCCAATTTGGTTCTGACTGGTCAGTTTCTATGCCAGTCAGCGTCAAAAGCTCTGCCTCCTAGGCAGCCATTGGTTCCTCAGAGTCCACCCAGATTTGGTTCTGATTGGTCAGTTTCTATGCCAGTCAGTGTCTTCGGACCTATCTCCGGGCCTGAACAGAGAAGTGGGGCTTATCAGCAGCCCCCTCCCCCCCTCCGCCCCCAGGCCCGGAGAGAAACAGAGAGGCAACGGCTGATCAACAGCTGCCAATGAGGCTGCAGATCAGACCCTGCCTCTCTCTCCAGGCCTCTCTCCGGGCCTAATCTGCAGCTCCCTCGGCAGTCAGTGCTGGGTCGCTGTGGCTGCAGGACTGACATCCAGTGTTCGGTCGAGCCTTCGGTCGGTCGTTACGGAGCCTGGGTTTTTATAAATATCAGGATACCTATATTGCCTCAAAGACCACTCTGCCTCTTAAGCTGGGTGACCTTGAGTGACTTACTGTAAATCCCCAATGGCCACAGGATAAAGCCTCAGTTCCTCAACCTGGCATACAAGGCCATTTAGGTTCTGGCTTCGCAGTTCTGACTGTGTAGCACAGTTGGTTAGAGTGTCGACATGTATGCCAAGGTTGTAGGCTCCATCCTGGTCAGGGCACATACAAGAATCAACCAATGAATGTATAAATAAGTGAACAACAAATCTCCATCTATCTAATATTAAAAAAAAAGTCTGGCCTTGCTTTTTTCCCCATCTATTCACTGCCACTTGAAGCACAAACCACCTGTCTCAAATGGTTTCCCCTGTATTTAGATGCCAAATTTTGCTTGTCCTTTGAGATTGTGACCAGTTTTCATTATTTAAAAGCCTCCCCTCACTGTGCTCTCTGTCCTCAAGCTGGGGTGTGCTGTGCTCTGGCCTCCACAGCCCACGCTGGAGTCTAGCACAGCACTGATCACAATTATGTGACTGTTTATCTTCCTCAAGGGCAGAAAGCGTGACTTTACCTGCAGTACCCATTGTACACCGTGGAATTAGTCAGATTAGGACACTTGCAAATATCCATGGAAATGTTGATTGGGACACAGTAAACCATTTGAAAATGTCCCCCAAAGATTTTTTTTAACTTGCCAAGTGGTACAAGAAAGATAGAAGTTCAAATTTTTGTTTTTAAATACATACATATATATATATATATATGTATAAAAACGTGTATCTCCTGGATTGCACT